CGGAGCCGGGGGGGCAGGAGCCAGCGCCCGGAGTCGCGCCTTGGAGGCAGCTCGGTTCAGCCTGACTTCTGTTTCGGGGAGTTGGGACGAGCTGCACGGGCGTAATTGTAATTACGCCGCCCTTCGCTCCGGCCGCCCAGGGAAAAGCGAGCTTAATGGACTCTGGAAGGGGTGGTGGTAGGTGGAATCTGCAGCACGTGAAGAGTTGCCGGTTGTTATGAGATAAAAAAAAAAACCAACAAAACCCAAATTTGTAATGGCTGAAGGGTAAAGTCTTGAACATTAAGAACGCTGAGTTAATAATACTGATTCTGAAGAGGCAGACAGTTTAGTTTCGTGGAAATGGAGCAAATTCCGAAGCTACCTGTTTCGCACTCTTCTGTTTCCCCTCCAACTCCTTCCTTGCAGGATAGAGAAAGAGCCGGGTAATCTTTCGCGGTGGAATGATTACATAATTGGAGGAGAGGCGGGTAAGAGGATTAAAACAAAACTGTTGTGTATCTATTGCAAGACCCGGTTTCTGTTCATTATTCTCATCCTTATTTTGTTGTTCATTGCATTTTAAAGAAAAAAAAATGGTGAATGACATATCAAGGAGAAAAGAGACAGAATGGAGAAAAGAGGCAGAATGGATTTGTAGACCAATCGTAAAATATTTGATTCTGTTAAATATTTCACCAGTTTTATGGGGCCTTGTTCTCTTAACATTTGTTATTTATTTACTAGTATCGTGCATTTTGATAGGACTCCTCATGTTTGGATAGCTATTGTATCCTACATATGGTTTATGTGATCTAATCCTAAAGCCCTTGTGGAATTTATAGAAATAAACTTAGCAGTTATACAATTTTAATTATTATAATAGTGTATTTCTTACTTTTAGCAGAAAAGCCTTTTCATTTTTTCTTTTTCCACTACCGTAATGTTAGATATTAGTGCGTACCTTTGTAAACCAGAGTGGATACATTTAATATAACTCTACCTTGTGTGTTTGGCAGACATCTCCCCTGTATTGAGTACCTCTAACTTTTCACCAGGACGGCTGTTTGATGTTCAGCTGCTTTGTGAAGTTTCTGATTAGTGGGGTTTGTAATTAGATCCAGTTGTACTTCTTGAATTAGTGTAGTTAGGTACATGCTTCCTTTAATATTATTTTTCTCTGATTTTTACTAAACCTTCAGCCCCCGCAGTATACACATAGACCCTCTACAAATAATTTTTAAAATTGAAACATTCTTAGAAATCTGTGTCATCACCTTGTTTTTTGATACGGCAGAACAGAAACTCGTAGGTTATGGTAGTTTTACATGTGTTATTATAGTTAGCATACCTCCCCCCCTTTCTGAGCAGGACTCACTGAACCAATTTTAATGAAAAATTAATCTGCTTTTTAACGTTTTAGCTCCAGTACTTGCTGTGCATGTGACCTGGAGCATATCATTTAACCTCTGAGCTTCCTTTCTCCGTTTGTAAATGGATACAGTATTAGGTTGAACCATACGAATTTGCCAGTACTCAGCTGTTTTTAATTTGGCTCAGCCTAATATGAACTTCATACTGGGATGAGAATGAAGTGAGATTCTCCATGTGGGAGGTGGGGGAGAGGAACAAATATTGGCTCATCAATGTGCGTGCACTGTGCTTTGTCGCTTCAGGTCCCTTGACTCCTCTAATTTTGGGGACCTTCCTGGTTTACAGGTGGTGGTATTGTGTTTTACAGATTAGGAAACTGAGGCACAGAGAGGTGAAACCACCTGCCTTTGGCTGCTCAGTTGTCGGTGGTCCTGTGGCTGATGAATGGCAGAACCAGGATTAAACAGTGAGCGTGACAGCCCGGGATGGATCTCCTAACGGGCTTGTCCTTCCATTCCTGGGCTACACCTTCTGCGGAAGAGCTCTGTGACCATGAGAAGACACTCAGATGAAGGGTGTTTGTATCGTTTGTATTTCTGGATAAAAAATACCCATGTCTTCTCATGATAGTGATGCCACCACTGTGGGGTCTGGAGCTTTATGGTGTGTCAGGTTCAGGGCTGAGCCCTGTGCTAGCTCGTTTACTCTCACAGTGACCGAGGAGGTAGGAAATCATCCCATTTTATAATTGAGACGGTTGAGGCACTGAGAGGTTGCTTAGGGTCACACAGCTAATTAAGTGAGGGGACTGGATTAGAAGTCAGGCAGTTTGTCTTTGATGTCCCTACGCGTAACCACTACACTCTCCTGCTTCCTCTTGTGTAGGTGGTAATGCTGAGGAATTGGTTTTAATTTAGCTTTTATGAGATACTTAATATTGGTGTAATAAGTAATTCTTAATGCATCTTCAGAGATTTTTAAATCAAATATTCATCGAGCATCTACTCGGCAAGTCACGGTGGGAGTTAAAGGAGAGACTTTACAAGGAGTGTGGAAGGTAGGCCATATAATCATTCCCAATTAGCTTTTGTAAGTTCTTCAAAATTTAGAAGGCACTTTTACATCCATATGTGGCGGCTGTCGTAATTTTAATGAATGCCAGTAAGACAGAGCGCTAGCACAGCTGGAGAGCAGGGAGGGAGGAAGGGCGAGTGGTTGGTAGAGATGTTTATGTGTTGAGGGGAGGCTGTGAGGCCATTGTGAGGGGATACAGCTTTTCAGACTAACCCTTTGCCCTGTGTATTTTTCGTTAGGATGTAGTTCAGCAAAGGGTAGTAAATCAGTTACTAAATTTAATTACTTAAGTACACCCGATATCCTAAAAATAAAATACCTCAGCTTTTGAAAACTCCTTTCTAGCTCATTCCTCTTTTTCTGTACTGCTGACCTTACCTTTGCCAGACAGTACTTTTTTTTTTTTCCTCTCTTTTATGCTTTCCAAGCACCAAGTCCATGCTTCTGTTTTGGTATTTATTCGATATTTACATTGTATTTGTAAATGTTTGGTGACAATGAGGTCTCTTCCGCGAGTGTATACGTGCTTTGAGCACAGGGCTTAAGCTGATTTTACCCCGTTTTATAGCTTAGCATTGGGTCTGGAACCCAGGAGGTACTGTGCTGTGTTTGGTGACGGCTGGTCAGTGGAATAACATTAGTATGGATTGAAATTGGGGGAGCAGGAGAAACAGAAACCAGTGTTCAGAGTGAGAGTTGAGGGGACTAAGGAAGGGAGGGTTACTTACAACAGGTACATTAACTTACCATCTCCATGTGTTTCCCCTTCAACTTACACCCAAATGAGGTGATTTCATAAGCTTAAATTGTATATAATCATGGTTAGAAAAAGTGAAAAGATAATGTTGATTGGTTTTAGGATATCAGCAACACGGAATTAATATAGCTGTAGCCATAAGCTAAGATTACGCAGATCAGAGGAAAGAGAGTGAAAGTTATGGAAATAGTTCAAGTTTGAGAGATCTGTTGCTTATAGTTAACAAGGTTGTAAGTAGAAGCATAATGGAAGTTGATGAAATTCTACATAGAAGTGTTTGAGCTGACAAGGTAGTAGAAGGAAACTGTGCAGGAATGTGAGAGCACCCTGGGAGCGCAAAGGAGCGCACACGTGACTGCCGAGGACCAACTGAACAAGTGAATTGTCATTCGATGTGTCCGGATAATAGTACTGAGTATGTGTTTGTGGGCACCTGGTTGACAGAGCAGGATACAGTGCAAAAGAACAACCAAAGTAAGTTCAAAAAACAGTAAGTGAATGTGCATTAATTAATTTCCTGTGGGAAGAGAATTCTGTTTGAACCGTGTGCCTCTGGAAGACTTGTTTTCACCTTTGTTACCTTTTATCTCCCATAAGTAAGAATCCCTTCTGGTTTGTAAGACAAACCCCCTCATGTGCTCTTTTTGTTTTCCCATCATTCACTCCCTCTTAGATCTTTGCAGGTATTGTACATCTGTGTTGTGCCTTACGCGCTACAGCACCTTTTTACATCGATACTTAAGCCATTTGATTTCCTCCTATGTAGGCGGGGAGATAATATCACCACCGTTATAGGTGTTGAAACTGAAGCTCAGAGAAACTGACTTGACCGGTTGATGACAGTCCGAACTAGAAAGGAGGTTTTCTGAAGCTCGTTTGATCAAATGCTCAGGTTTCCCCAAACTTTAAAACCTCCAGTTTCTCCAGTCTTGCTGCTCTCTCAGGATCCTTAGATTTAGTTTATCTCTATTTTTTGAACAAAGGTAGTCTGGAATCACTGTCTCCACTCTTCACAGCTCTGCTGTTCATTCCCTCTCTAAAGACTCTTACTGTTTATTTATCCAGTCAGTACATACTTCAGTGCCTCTTGAATGGCTACTTGACGTGCATTCTTACATGCATAAAATAAGGAGGCCTCCATTTTTAAGAGAAAGAAACTTGAAAAAAGTAATTTTTTATGTTTTCATTTCAAGATTTTGTAATTAAATACACTATTAGTAACCTAGTAAGTTCTGAGAATTTTCTGAAAAAAGGGTCCCTTAAGTTTCCCATAGCTAACATCTCTTAATATGTCAGGTTGTACAGTCCTGTGGAATTAGTAAATGGAAATTATTTTGTGGTCTGTTTTTATAAGAGTAGGGAGGTTGTATAGCTTGACTGACCATCTAACTATTTTTTCTCTTGAGTTATTAATTAAATTCACACTTATGAACACAGACTACTTCTTAAAATGTAAGTGTGAATTTTTTTTGTTACAACCAAAATGTTAGTTTGGAAAACCAACTTTATAATGATAAAAAAACTTAATGAGAAAATGATTTTTTATATATACACCTTTTTGTTTTGTTTTTTTCTTCCTTTATATAGTATTTGAATAAATCTTAAAGCTTGTTAATTATGGAGAATTTCAAATAAATAGATACAAAAGTACGATGTATCTCAAGTTTCCCATCACCCAGCCCATCCGTCAGCAGTGGTCAGTCCCACCTCATCTCCTCCCCTGTGTTACTCCCCCTCCTGTATTATTTTGAGCAAATTCCAGGCATTGTATAATTTCATCCATAAATATCTCTATGCATTTCTATAAGATGAGGGCAGTTAGTTACAACACTACATGCTTTAAAAAATTAACACTAACTCAGTATTAAATATCCACGTTTTTTTCAGTGCACCATAAGACCACTGTGGTAAAATCAGGCTTCTGTTTATTTTTATTTATGTGCTGTTCCCCCCCCCCCCAGGAAGTGTAAGGGGCTGAATAAGTATTTAAAATCCCAGCATAGCAGTAAAATAGATAGGGAAATGATAGCAAAGAAAATAAAGGGAAAAAGAAAGAACACAAAGTAATAGCAAATGCTCATTTCAGTAGCAGCGCATTAAAGAAACTCTAGTTTTTTATTCCTAAAAGTTAAGTGTTCAGAGATTAAATAGGATTCTTCTGTTTGGATTGTTCAGTTCTGTGGTTGGTCGGCCAAGACTGCCTTCGAGATCCTGTCTTGATCTAACCTTTATTCGAGTTGTACTCCTGACCCCCAATCAGTTTTTCCTTTTAAGTGATTCTTAGAT